TCGCACGCTGGGGGGGAGGAAGCAAAAACATCCAGGTTCCCACAGCCGAGTCAGGCAGCATCTCGTCAGGCAGGCCTCAGTCACAGACCCCCCAGGGTCGGGCTGCCTACTGTGGGCACGAGCCGTGATGATTGTCCCCGCTGGGGGTTTGCACATGCGCGCTAACGGGCGCATGCGCACTAGCCGCCAGATCTACACACACCGCAGTGCAAAGGCGCTTCAATTTACCCGCCTGTGTACAGAAATGTTCAATACCCAGAAGCAGAACACAACACCAAATCCCATAAATGTCTTTTTAAAGAGCAAATATGYACAAACCATGTAGTCTCACACTGTCAAAAATCTACACATCGTCATTGTTTATATGAATAGAAGTTTTCAACACATTACTTCCAAAGAGTTGTGTAACTGTGTTGCACACACATCCAATTACACATTTATACAATGATAGAATAAAGAGATTATGCCCCCTCCACGCACACACAGACACACGTCCTCTTTAAGATATAGCTGAGAGCGATGCAGTGAGAGTTGAGGCTTAATATAATCCCAGTAAGTCGTACAACTTCACGTATGGAAAGACTTAACAGATGTAGAATGTATGTTGTTTTATCCGCATGTTAACATCTGTAGTTCGTTGAATTACACTAAATGAATATGTCTGGTAAAAGCACTGCAGGTGTGAATGCTCAATCAGTCAGTGAGTCTTGGGCTAATCTTTCCTTTACATTTACTGTAGACATGATGGAGCTTTTGGAGGCTAACATTAAGAATGACATTTTACCAATATGTAACTTCCTTGTTGTAATGGCAGTAAGACTATTGAAGTATTTATGATGCGTTCAATGACAACTAAGAATTTAGGGAAGCATTATAAGAATATGCAGGTAGAGCTAAATTTTGACTTTCTATTTTTGGGATAAAGTTAATTTCATTTTTCATTTAGTTTCCTTTATTTAACCAGATTTGAAACCCCATTGAAATCGAGATTTCATTTTCCAGGGGGACCTGCTCGTAACTGCAACATGATTTAAAGTTGAACTGGAGCAGAGATTTCTGGTAAAAGTATGTGTATATATATATATANTATATATATAGGGGGATTAGATAATCTTAATCAAAGCAAGGTTTGTAACATATGTCCCCTGAAAATCTACATGGATTTCTAACTCCCGTTTTCAAACCTAAAAGGTCCAAAATAAAGTGAAATCCCATGGACAATACTGTATCTCAGATTTACAGCAGGAACTGCCACAGTCATGGCTGGTTACGTAAAAGGATAAGAGATAATATTTACAAAAAAATTGTTCTGGAGTCTGTCAAGTGTGGAGCAGCATTTTGTTTYGCAGCTGGCGTAAATTTTGGGAGGCACCCAAGTGCTGACAAAACAGTTCTCTCTGTGTCCTAAAAGCCGTTCGTGTATATAGTCGTGTTAAAACGGAGTGCTGGAAATTCACTCAAAAAATGCTCAGTCATAAAACTACATTTGCCGGCGTGATTAAACTGTTTCTATCAGGCTGTAACATCACACAGCAGGGTCGTAGTGTAGTTAACAGTGGAATTGAACCTTGGCACAGCTTAATGGAAAATTTGTGGTTTTGATCACAGCGACCAAAGCTCTGTGAATTGTCCTTACTGTACTGTGTCCAAACTTGGAACAAGCTGTTCAGGACAGTGAAAGAAAAACATTTTTTTTCTGCTCTGAGGCACAAAGAAAAGCACTAAATACGAGACAAAGGGGAAAATAGACAGGTCAAATGAGTGAAAGATACCAAAAATCATCAAAGGAAAGCCTTTGATTTGATAGTAKTGAATAAGGACAAAAGGGAGTGAGGAGTTGGATTATCACAGATCAAAGATCTTTATGTTGATATGACTGAGTTAAAAGACCTATCAAACTCTCCGAGGAAAGAAAATGTACTTTTAAGAATAGTATGATGTCATGATTGACACCTTAAACCAAGATTAAAGGGGATAGAATGTGTTATAATCCAGGCTAGAAGGAACGTTTCCCTACTTAAACTCCCAACATTAAAATACTGTCTATTGTAGCYTTTGGGTTTTTGGTTCAGTTTGGATGGTTTCTGCTTGATTTCTTGTTTTAGAGGTTTCTGTAGTGTTCTATATTTTGTTCTTGTAACTGTTCATGGGTCCAATCCCAGATTCTGTGAATTTATCTCTTGTAATCAGCTTCTTGTCTAATCACAAACTGAGAAACCAACGATTTATTCTACATTGTCCGCCCAGTTACAATGGCTGCCGCAGGGCCTTGTTTAGATTTACTGAGCGCCTTATTTTAAATCTTCCACTAGATTAACATAAAATTAACAAAGTCTTCGTGTCACAAGTCAGTTTGATGAGCATTGTGACACAGCGTGGGGACATTTGAAAGGGCAGATTTGAGGGACTTGTGTTCGTGGGAGACACAGCCAAAATCTTCTCATTAAATAATTCATTAATCCTTAATAAGTGAGCCAGCTGTCCGTCCTTTTGTGACTGAAAGCAGTCGCATGCCAGATCGAAATCAAAGCATGCAGATATTCAGTTTGTCCAGTAATTAAATTTAATTTTGCAGTAAATTATATTTTAGACAAGCCGAGTATTCAATCAATCAATCAATCAATCAATACCCTTTATTTAACCAGGTAGAAAGCCCCTTGAGATCAGGATCTCTTTTAMAAGGGTGACCTGGTCAAGAGGTCCGCACGACACGTCACAGAGTGTATCAGAGTTTAAATTTACATTGTTAAGTACAACGATTCAAAACACAAAATTGTTAAAAACAGATTTAGACCTTTAGTCATTTAAAACGTACAGACCAAGCTAATTACCAATTACGGCATAATGATTTTCATTTTTTTTTACAGTTGATTAGTGCAACATTAATCAATCAAACACTTATGATTACAAATTCAAACAAGATAAAAAAACCCTCAACAAACAAAAAGTCAGATGAGAGATCAGCACTAACAATTAGTGTACACGTAGTGACAAGAAAACATCTGCACGGATCAAACTTCGTTTTAATGTTATCAGTGAGGATCGACAAGAAGGATCTAAGAGAGGAGCTTCATCATACTTTTTTGAAAAACTCTTTTTTTAAAAGGTAGGGTTWTGTTGTTATAATAGTGGTGAGGAATGGGTTCTTTTCTGTGTGACATTCTAAAAGATAAGAGTAAAGCCATGGTCAAACATTAACATATTCTCCATGTGTTGGGGAGGAATTGTACATTCAAAGCCAGCTCCCCGGCTCCACTCTGGTCAGAAAAGGTCATCGGTCAGACTGGGGAATGGTTCTTTGCAGGCTCTCTCATTCTATTGCTTCYCGCTTTGTCTCCTTCTCGTCCCTCACCCTCGCCCTCCTCCCTCCTCCCTCCRTCCTGAGCATAATTCACTTCAAACTTCCTGAAGGAGCTAATAATAGACTGCAGTCAACTCTGTCTTGGGCAGAGTTGGGGATATGTAAATATTCCTCCCCTACTCATGTGGGCAACTTCCTGCTTGCTGACAAGGGTGGGAGCCAATGGGAGGAGGAGGAGGAAGAGGAGAAGCGCGGTTGGCATGGCAACGAGGCCCAGCTGCCTGCACAGTTTTAACTCCAGTGTAAAATGCTAATGGTTTTTTTTTCTTTTTTTTCCCCCTTTTCTTTTTTTCTCAGGAGTCGCCTGCCATGAGCCTCTGCACTCTTTGTGTTTTTGTAACTTGACCTGACCCCAGTGCAAAACCGATGTAGTTTGCAAACTATCATGATGCACACAATTGTTTTCCATTTTGTTTGGACTTTTCTGCACATTAGGCGTTAATAAAAGAACCGAGTAATGCAGTGAAAACATCTTTTGGCAGATTTGAAATAGTGCCCGAAAGTTTGCGTTTGAACTGGTCGACTACTAATTCCTAAAGACAGTAATTTCTCTTCAACCTGGATCCTCTGTGCGCCGTTTAATCTGTTTGCCTCCCCTGTGTGCCATTACACCACCGCCGCCTTAAAATAGCCCCTCTCTTTCTGTTAGCAAATTAAGTGACAAAGTGTGGGAAGAACAGATATCACTATGACAACCTCTCCGCCTGATTGCTATGAGATATGATTTTCCTGAGTTTTGCCTTCAGATCTCAACTTTCTGCAGAGACGGAGAGCGAGATCTGCAGCATCCAAACACACGACTCACGTCTATCACAACATAGAGAATTAAATGCGCCTGTTGTCGTGTTATTTAATTCATTTTATAGATGCAGCATAGAAAGGGTGAAACTTGATCATTTGTTGATTATTTAAACCCATGCACTTTACATRTTTGCTAACTGTTAGTTTGTGCTCTGAATATACAAGAGCTATTGTCGCTCTCCAAAGTCCTAATTTAGTTTCTGCTCTTTTGTTGCAGCAAGAAGACAAATCTTTAGACTAAAACAAAAGATCTTGTTTGAAATTAGATTGGCTTTTATTGGGGGTGTGTTTAATAAAAATTTCATTTGCTCCATTGTTTTCCTGACAAACATGCCAGAACATCTTATCTGTTAATTTGCAAATCTTTTCTTTAGTTATCTGTGAATAAAAAAAGAGAAAGAAAAAGTCTGATTATTATATTTTTATTGTTTTTTTATTTTTGCGATATTTGGAGATGTTGGGGGCTGTGTATATATGTGCATACATGTATGCATATACACTGTATGTAGATTTACATTTACATTTATGAATATACTCTGGTATATAATTTAGTAGGTAAACAGATTGTTGTTTTAGTCTTTATGAAATAGTGACTTAGAATAAGGGAAAAGAAGAATTTATTATTATTTTTTAATAAGCTTCGGAGAAGGGTGGGATTAAATATGTTTCTTACTTCTTCCCATTCCTTTTCAAAAATGTTAATTTAGTTAATTTTATCACGTTTTATCATTTTTTGTTTTGTTTCATATACAGTAAATGTTTGAAATAAACGAACTAAAAAAAAATGTTGCTGCTGCCGTATCGGAGCAAGAATTTAATCGGTTCTTTATGACTGCAGGTATGAAAAAGCTGGCCAACAAGGCAGCGCTGTGGTACGTGCCCTGTTCTCTGCAGAACGCTGACAAGATCCTGGAGGTGCCCCCCATCAAGGTACGTGAAAACTAAGGCAGAGAGCCTGAGAAACTAATGATTGGTATTTAAAATTCAGCCTCTTTCTGCCCCAATGGTTTTCCCAGTATCACTGTAAATTAAAAAAAGGCTCAAATCATAGACAGAAATGCAACAAGAGTGACCATCGGATGTTTGTTTTTAAAGCCAAATCTCTCAATATTACTAATRCAGGTAAGTTCCACTACTTTTTGTAATGAATTTCATAACGTAATTTTAATCTTTTTTTATAGGATTCAACTACCTTTAAACAATTCCTTGTATGAACTAAAACCAAATAAGGTTTTTAACAAAGTAGGTCAAAAAAGAGAGATTTTAACAGGACTTGAGTAATTATTGAAAAAGAAAAAGATTCAGCATTGCAGTTTTGTGTATGGCATAAGTATGTAAAGACCAGATTATATCAGGTGTTTTAAGCCACAGGGTTTACAAGTCAGGTAGGGGTGTTTTATTCAAAAAGCAAGAATCTATAAAGTCTTATCTTGGTTTGTTGAAAATGCATCTTGATGCAAACAAATCAGATTTCTGATGACCGCAGAAAGAGCTGCTGATGTTCATGAGGCTTGGGCTAAAAGGGTGACCATCTGTGTGGACCGACTGGAGTGAGGGGATAGCAAGAGAGACTCAGACAACAGCAAACAATAAACAGTGGGGATACCAGTTGGGCATTATTGTTCCTCATCTTCCTGGGTCTGAAACTGACAAACTAATCGATAGTTCGAGATCACCTGCAYTGGCATTAAATTTCTTGTAATTGGAAACAAAAATATACCAACTCAGTTGTTTTGTACCTATTGATGTTTTTGTTTTCTACATTTTATTGCAAGTACGCTGATGCAGAACAAGAGGAAGAGGGCAGAAAACGCTATGAAGCGCAAAAGATTGAGAGACAAGGGACCAAAGCCAGACTTGAAGAGGCGATACCACCTCCACCAAACCCAGGTATCATAAACCCTATGCTCATTAATGCAAGCTGACTGTGTGCAATCTTGGAATTCTGAAAATACTTTCAATTATGTTGCAGCTGCAGAGAAACTACAGTAGCTGTGTAAATTTTGTGTTTTATGTCTAGTGACAGTGATTAATAATAACGTGAGAATGTATAGACAGAGACAAGTAAAGAACACAGTTTCCTGTTATGTTTCCACAGTTCCATCACTAGCTACGTTTACATGGATATAAGTAATCGGATTAAATGGCCGTTCGGAATAAAAATGCGTCATGTAAACAGCCTGTTCGGATTATTCTGATCCGATTGAGCTTGATATGAATGAATTTTTATCCGAATGAGAGGGGTGGGTTATGCCGATTGATAACCRGAATGACGTGCATGTAAACACTTAATCGGATCATCTTATTCTGATTGTRGAAAACCGACCTGTGTGCGCATGTCTTCTGACTTTCATCCACCAGGTTCTGCTCTTTAGAGGACATGGGGCAGCAGTGCTGTAGTTTCCAGCTGCGCTGCGCCACGCAGAACTTTTCCTCCATGCCCTCTTAACAGATAAAAAAGGAGATAAACAGCAGACGTTGCTTCGCAAAAAAAAAAAAAAAAAAAAACACGTATTGCTTCATCTGCAGCTCAACCGAGGAAACGATGTCTCTACTGTTATTAAAAACTGACACAGGTCCGTCCTGAGCGCACAGAAGAGCTTTGTTTACGTTTGTAACACGGAAGTAGAGCTGAAAATTTACAACACTGCGCATGCCTGGACTGTAAACACTTGTCATGATCAGATTGTGTCCATGTAAACAGTACATTCGGATTATTTAATCYRAATACATTTCAATCCGATCAAAAAATTTTKTGCATGTAAACAYAGCTACTGTCAAGTGTATGTTTGCTTTAGACATCATGCTCTGTAAATCAGTACAAGTGTTAGATATTTTTTTGTGCGTAACAACTGAAGACATATTACTATGTATTTTTTGTCATGCTGACTAAACCCATAGAAGAAGCACCAAAAGGTATGTAAACTGCATCAGCGGTTAGCTTACATTGCTGTGATGTTTAATAAACAGTGTGCGATTTGTTGGTGTATTTTCGCAGAAACTGGGTTTTGTTTTTGTTGACTGTTTGTATGTTTGCGTTCCAGAACGGCACACGGTTGGCTTCAGCCAGTCCAGTCTGATCCATTTGGTGGGGCCTTCCGACTGCACGATCGATGACTATGTTTATGGAGGTGAGGTYGTTTCTCTTTCATTTCTTTGCTGTGACTTGAGCAGGTCGAAAGACACTTTCGAGCTGACAGTCTGGTTCCAGGAATAGGAATACAATATTAATCTATCACAACTTATTATTCATGACTGAAACTTTTCGTGGCGCAGCGAAAATGAACAGGCGAGTGGAGATGGGAGCACGTTTTTATATTATGAAAACCAGCAAACATCYATGCCCTCTGCTCAGCCCAAACACTAACGAAAACCTCATGCATGGGACAGTTTGACACGTCAAGAAAATTCATCCCAACAGGAGATGACGAAAATAGAAACGCAGTTTCATTCATTCGACRCCTGTTCTGAAAACAGCTGAAAAATGAGCCTCGTGTCTCTCACATTCACCTACAAAACCAACAGTGTTACTAAAACACCAGTTCACATTTCRTTGTGTAAACTGACCCAGTGCAAACAGCTGCTGGCAAGCCATTTCAAACCTCACTGTTGCTCAATAATTGGCTCACTTTTGGTCCTTTTTTAAAATGTTGTAAAATAATGAGCTTGTGAGCAGYGAAGGGCTATTTAATAATAATGTCGGGGGATTAGTCTGAACTTTAACTTCTTCCGTACGATAACAAAACCCTGCAGGAATTAGGATGAAACAGCAGAGAATATGCAGAACAAGTAAGAGTGCTGAGCAAAGGCAGAGAAAGACGAGCCAAGGAACAAGTGAAAAAATATTATATGAAGTGAATATATAGTTAGATGTAAGTGTGGTGTATCAGTGGCATCAACATAATTTCAATTATTTGTGTTTTTTAAATAAACAAGGTTTTACACCCTTTTATTGAAAACTTGAAAGAGCAGAGCCACTGAAGAAATGCTACTTTCCTCCAAAGATAAAGGTCCTTGAGAGAGAACTTAATGGCTTTTATCACATCTATGTTTCTCTAAGTGAATATAAGAATAATAAATGTGCTGTTGTGTTTTATCTACTTCGACTGTAAACACTTGGCTTGTAGAGAGCAGTTGAGTGTGTGGCTGGAGCTGCTGCAGCTGGGTTTTACCTTCACGAGAGCACTCCTTAGATATGAGCAGAGCTGTAATAAGGAAGGACAAATATAAATGAAAGGAAGGAAATTACTGAGTAGAACAGCAAGTGGAAAATAGAAGCTTTTTGTGACAGGAAACCGTATTGTGCAGATTCTTTTCCTACTTCTGCCCTAAAAAGTTGTATTAAGGATTTAAGTTATTCGTTATTTTGGGATGGTATGATTATCCATCTGTCTTTGGTTTTGGTAAATTTCTGTTGAATAAAATTTTTTTTTGTTCTCCATACACTTATAAATTCGTCAAATCACTTCAGACAAAAAATTTGAAATAATGACTGGTTTACACGGCAAGATTTTAAAATTGTTTTATTTTCAAACCACGTGACGATGGTGTACGGCCACACGGCAAAAGACAACACACCACACACAAACAGGTTTCACTCTCAAACGTTCAGACGGCAGACAAGAAATCTCGCAAAACCTCTCGAGATCAAACGTGAGTTCAAAGTAATTAAAAATGGCCAATGAGGAAAACACAACAGCGATATTTTGTAGGCTATTTTTAACAGAGAGGGAAAAAAAGACATCTTAGGTGTCCACCAGACTTTCTGGGACGCCATGGCAGATATTTTGGATTCTCCTCTGKTTCCGTCACCTTGCTTACTGATCACTCAACAGGCTGCGTGCTCGTGTGTCCTCTGGGGGGCACCACACCTGTTGGGATATCTTATAAGATTATCTGTAGAGCAATCACGGTTATCAGAGTGTCCTTGGGATGATCAAAATCAGGTCAAAAAATCTGCATGAAAGTACACAGAAGACAACCTAAGATTACGGAGAAGATGAATAAGAAACGGATGAATGTGTGTCCAGTTATCTGACATCAGAACTCTGACGCTTTGAGCTCCCAGCTCATTACAAGCCTCAGTGTTCGTAATGAATCCAACATTTATTCTCCACAGGCCAGATGCCTCCTATCAGTTGAGGTGTATCATTTCTGGCTGCGTCATTTATATTGAGGTCAGCTGTGTAAGGAGTCTATCACAGACGCCACATACTGAGGGAAGGAAGCGCAGAAGGGAGCTGTGGACTGAAAAAAGGGAGGCAACAAAAAAAACGGAGACAGGATAGAGCAGCAGCGCAGGAACAAGAAGAAGAAGCAAGCAGAGAGAGATAAATGCCGTTCGTGTCATGTTGCCTTTTTAATTTGGAGAGCTTGCTGGGAAATCTGTCCAATTAAAATTAAATGTTGGAAAAGCATGCGGGTCATTTAGAATTCACACACACACACACATCTTTGACTCCGTCATGCCATTGCTCATTAGGCAATGTTCCCAAGTTACTCGCTGTTGCTGCTTTTGCCACACCTATTTTATTTACATAACTGAGTCGGGTCAGGCAGTCAAGGGGCTTGGTCTCTTTCTTTCTTCACATGTATTCACACCCTCCCTCCTTCCTTCCTTCCCAACCCTCAAACAAACTGTATCTTCATGCTAAGTTACGTCATGGTCACAAATATGTGATAACACAACTGTCTGGTTTTTACCTTGCTCCGTGTGGGTTCTGTTCCTTTTCACTAGTTCTAGAACATAAATATGAGCAGACTGCTGAGAAAAGGTAGAGTGATCAGAAAATCTTGGTGAAACAGCTCACAGAATTAAAGACGAAAAGATAATTTTCCGCACCATAAAACACTGTTTTTGGTCAATAGTTCAGCTTTTAAATGTGAAAATTCTTAAATTAAAACCAATATTCAGCGCAGGTTGTCATTTATAATTCGTATCATTTGAAGGCTCACATAAACCAGATAATTCTCTGGACACAAGGACCAAGGCTGAAAACAACAAACATTAAATGGTTGTGATCTCCATACCTTCAGGCTCTGCATTATAAATAGAAATGGTTCTGTAGTGGAAATTACTGCTTGGATGCAGGAGACCTTCTGGATTACTGTCAGTAAACAGTTTGTTGGTGCAACCACAAATGCAAGCAGAAACTCGGTCATACAAAAAAGCTGTCAGATTCTGTGGGCTAGATGGACATAGTTTCAGCTGAAAACAGTCCTGTGGTGTCAAGTATCTGTTTTTTGTCATCTGTAATGGTATGAGGGTGCTTTGGTACATCATATTATAATTTACACAACAGTTTTGCAGCTTTTGCAGCTTTACATCCTGCCTACACAGCTTCTTAAATGAAAAAGCACTGACTAAAATATAAAAAAATTTCAAATTAGGAGATAAAATACACAACAAACAATGATAAAAAAGGATGTGGGAAACATTTCACTTTTTTGTTAATTTCCCCAAACTCTGTTGTTCATGTTGAGGTAAGGTTTTGTTAATATAACATTTGCTTAAAGCACATTTTGTGTCTTTAAAAGTAGTCATTATGTCTGTGACGATCCAGAGAATTGTAACATAAAGCCTGTACATTGTTTTAAAATAGTTTCTGATGAGGACACAGAGTGTTGCTCATCAGCCGAGGCCTGTTTAGTTTAAATGTTGGACACCTGCAAACTTTAAACACGCTGAACAAAAAAGCCTGGAAATAATATTAAAATCCAAAATCCCTAACACCCCAAACCTAAAACAGTCCACATTTTTTCTCTCTGCCTTTTGCTTTTCTTTCCTTTCTCTGTACTTTATTCTTTACGGTCTGCCCACCTGTCATTATTTCACGCTCTCTTCTCTCTGCCTGTTCACACTCCTCCTCCTTTCATGTCCTAAAGAAGCGTACCATCTGTTTCCATGGAAACAGCAGTTGATTTCCACAGGTGGACTCTGTTCTGATTAACACAACTCAGGGGGTGGGGGGGGGGGGGATGTCAGCGCCTGAGGTGTGTTTTGTAAAGTTTTGTTAAACGAGGAAACGGTGTGTTCTTTTGTTCCTGTCAGTGTTTGAAAGTGATCAGAACGTGAGAGCAAGAAGAGGAAGTGCAGATGTGCAGAGATGTGCGTGCAGATTGGGTTCTGGAGCAAAGACTGAACACAGAATGTGTGTGTGATATGTTACTGCGTACAGCAGTGGTTCCCAAACTTTTCAGCTTTTGGACCCACAAAATACTCGCAGCAGAGACCTGTGCCCCCAGCTGTTGTCGGCTGATAAACATTGTTTTCCCRTCAAATAAACAAGAGCAAATAACATTAATTATTAGGCTAATTTTTGTCAATTTTAAAGGGATCTATGATTAGTTGTAACATTAGACTTTATTTAATAAACATATATTTTAACTGTAAAATAAAGACTGTAAAAATACTGTAGGATGTTCAGTTTTTATCATTTTTAAACTAAAAGTTTAAAAATATATTTCACAGACGGGGCCATTTTATTTACATGCAAAKCATTCTGGGTAAATGATGACTTGGATAGGTCCTCGGTGTGAGGCTGCTAGCGAGCTATATCCACCCTGAAGGTTAATCTTGGACAATATCTGATGATCGACTCTTTTAAATGAAACCAGAGAGTGTTGGTATCGATTGATACCAACTATTGATTGGTAGTGATTAATCAATCAATCAATCAATCAATCAATCAATCAATCAATCAATCAATCAATCAATCAATCAATCAATCAATCAATCAATCAATCAATCAGTCACACTATAGATCAAATTTCTTATTTTTTATAAATGAAAAACCCACTCTGTCAGGTTTGTTTACAGAGTAGCTGGTCCTCATGTTGTGTTGCAGGGGTTCAGCTGGAAATAGAGGATTCTGTATGACCTCGCAGGGCATGGACATGGATATTATTATTCATAGCAAAACATCTGCTCTACCTTACGTAATAAAACAGCACTGTTAGTCTACAGCTTTATTTAGAAAATAGAGTTCATGAATCAAACCCTAAGAACAAGAACACAGCATCTCATCATATTTACTGTATGAAATGTGCCAACAAAAGCAGCAATAATTAAAACAATTTAAAGACTCACTTAGCTGCAGTTGTAATTACATTAACAAAGAAGTACACACCA